CAAGACGGGACGTCATTCTCGCTGCTTCTGGGTGTTTTTTGACTTCTACCGACCCTGTGTCCTTATATTTCTTCCAAATCCTTTAAACACATCTAATCGACACTCCTTGACTTTCAGAAACTTGCCTTGGTGTTAAGCCTTCGTAGAAGCTCCGAATTATGGCATCAACTTGGTCTTGTCGCAAGTTACGGATTCTGGAATGCCTTGCCATAGCCCTAATAACGTAGTAGGTGCATGACGTGACTCAAATTATCAAGAACCACCCGAAACATTTAACATAAAAACCCACAGTTTATAGAAGGTGGAAATGTATATTGGCGGGCGATTTGAAAATAAAGCGCCAATTCTGCTTGGAAATGTGCTGCTGTGCCATTACAGCTGTATAATATTACTAACTGCCTAAGTTTTCTACTGTTTGAGTTTCTAGTAGGAAGCTTGAGTTTTGAGGAAGTTATGTTTGAAAAAGTGAAAACGCATACTTCACTGACTGGTACTGTAGATCCGAATGGGTATCCCGCATTTGGCGAACGAGTTGTGTAGAAAGATTTGAAGGGGGTATACGCTGATCTGCCTGCATTAGTTTTTGCAGTCAAAGTAAGGAAGCCCTAATTTATAGAGATATTTATAGAATGGAATTGCTGATTGCGGAGATTTCCGAGTTTTGTTTGTGCGATTTATGGTTTCCATTAAAGCTTGTCCATCGATAACGAATTCCCGTGTTCGCCGTGTTTACTATATCCACTAGTGAAAAAAATCCTCTCTCATCAAGGTTTTTCCTCTAGGTCCCATGCAGATCCAATCTTCACTGTGACAAGTCATATGAGATTGTTAGAGATACGCATCAAGTTACTGCACTTCGACATTACCGGGTAAAAACGAAAATGAAGACAAATAGAGGGTGAGGTTCCCTCTGCTACATCTATCGTGGAGATATCAATTGGAGAACGAATGTTCGAAAGCTCACCATAGACAAGAGGGCTGAGTTCCTCGAGGTAGACACACTTTTCTTTCTTCTTAATGAGCATTTTCAAATCAAGACAGCGGCTGAAACAAACTTCGGTCAGCATCAAGCATTTCTGGGGATGTGACAGACTGACCCTTTCAAAGCGTAGATGATCAGGAAACACAGTACAACGAACAGCACCAAAGCCGATATAGCCACCAGTAGCGAAAAACGAGGAGGATTCGCATTCTGAATAGTTTGAAACTATGAGTTGAGTATTTTGCTGTCCTGGTTCTTCAAATAAGTTTTTCATTAGTGTTGCTTTCAGGGTTACTTCGCTACATGCCTTCTGAGTGTGCTTGAGCAACATAGTGGTGCTGGGAGTGCTTGGGCTATCTGCCCTTTCCAAACTGGCGCTGCTCTAGCAAAATATGCGGTAAAATTTACCCCAGTGTCAGAAAGTCTTACAGCATATTTTGCTTTGGCTGCACCCAGTTTGGAAAGAGCGAATAATCCGAGCACTCCTGAGGGCCATTTGTTCTAGGAATCTCATGAGCCTAGAGTATCCGGACAGTTGTACTTGAGAATAACTGCGAGATAAATGAGACCTGATTTACGTTTGGGCAGACCCCCTATGCATGCATGGACAGTAGAAGTATTGGTCATTCATAGTTTTAAACGCGTTAGAATAGATCCTTGAATGAACTCACATCCCTCAGCCTCATACACTTGCTGTTAGGGGAGCAAACGGATGACTGATAGGAGCATTGATCTGAAATGGAACAAATTAAGGATATAAACTTTAAGGAGGTGGTGAAACCATTCCAAACTCACGGCTCAGAATGAAGCGCTGCTCAGAACCCCAAGATCCTTTGAGCATTACCCGATTGTCGACGATACTTCGCACTGAGCACATCACCCTCACCCGGTACTCAACATGAAGAGCCAGGTTGACCACATCTAGCTGAAAGCAGTCTTCACTTGATGAAAGGATGAAAAGTGAAGTCTCTGATGATAGTTATTCCGTTTTGGCATGTGCCCCGCATTCGACTTCTATTCAGAATCGTAGTGGCGTATTGGATGCGTATGTGGCTGTACAGTGACTCGCGGTGGCCAGCCGATTTACGAGACAGTGTTTTTCTCCTCCAAGACGAGTTTGGTATCAATTAACGGCTCCGGAAGGATGGAAGGCTTAGTTGGCCTGGGAGTTCGATCCACTGACCATGAGTGCATAGTAGTAACCCACTTGCCACTATATCACCTCCGCCTCTATCAGATATAAAATAGAAAGCGAGAATGAGATGCCCAGAAAGATGGACGGGAGATGGAACGAGCACAAGAAAAATCATTCTCCCCATCATGATGATGATTATGTATCACCTTGATGGTGATCTAACAATAAGAGGTATATGAAACTCGAAACGAAACTCCGAGGAAAATCTGATCAGAACTAATGTTCACCTTCGAGGCCGTTGTATTGTAACGTAATGTGTTTGTTTCGTTGCTAACTTCCACCTCACAAGTCTGTCCAGCGTTGGAATTCCACTGCAGAAGGATGCCATTTTTACAGTCGAACGTCAACGAAGAGATCTCTGGCGCTGACGGCACTTAAACGTCGATAGTTTGACTTTTCGAACTCATAAATATCGTAAAATCTGGAAGTGGTAATATTTTTTCAAACAAAGATAGGAACCCTAAGGTAAGAGAGTCATTGTTCGACAAAAAGGACTCCGCCTACAATATTTTGCACCCAAAAAGAGTTACATGAGGACGGGTTGAAAAGGCTTCTTCCAAAGCCCCGGGAATGAGCTTCTCGGAATAGCGTCATGCTTGTTGTAAATGAAATCGAAGACTTAAGGAGGATGCAAACATTTCACCATCGTCTTGTAGGGAATGAACTATTGAGAAACCTCACTTCGAGTAAAACCTATTCTACGCCAAATCGTGAAATGCACGATCGACGTAGCAAGTTCACTTTCTTTCCCCGAAGCATTCACCTACTATCTCATGAACGTTGCTGTGATGTTATCTGACCCATGTGAGGCTTTCAACGTTTCGCTACGATTCGTACAGCCAGGACTTCAAAGGTTTGAAATATTTCATTTCCATGAAAAGAAAAGCACAATTCACAATGAAACTAGTTTCTGAGATTTCTCTCTGGCATTACCCTGTGACGCGCATGAATGGTTTTAGGTTAAAAAAGACATAGATGGAGCATAATAAGGTCCCCAAAACCGGCTTAGGCGACCTACACACTCAAGGCGGGCAAGTTCTCACGGCATTGTAGAGGCAGTAGCGTTTGCATCATTCACATCGGGACGTACACGTTGCACGCAGGCAGCTTACTGTAGCAAGCTGTACCTAATGGCGCACAGATTTGAACAGCCCGTTCGAATAACAATCCCTTTCGGCCTATCTCGTCACATTCTCTTCCAACCCCTAATTTTACTATTTTAGAATTTTCTCATGTTTTCTGAAATGCCGATTTTCGCGTTTTCTTCACTGATGTTTCACTGTTCTGGACATATCCAGAAATGTCTTTACTGTGCTTTTAGCTTATTCGTGCATTTAAACAGACTAACCTGGAACATCAGTCATAACCACGTGTTCGGAACTTCGTTGCCCTTCCCCTTTCGTGCTAGACGCCGACAGTCGGAAGTGATACTTCGTATTCGGCTCTGAAGTAATTGAATTTATCTGCAAGAGCAAAGTGGGACGCAAAAACGAGCGAACAGCACGAAATCAAAATCCATTCGCTGAACTCTTTCACATCCCTGGTTGGGGAATTCTCCGTCACTTGCATTGGATGATGCATATTGCTCCAACGGATAACTAGTTGAGTTGCGATCATCGTTTTGGAGCTCATAAAATAGATGGTGAAACCCCCGGGGGACCTACGCTCACCGAGTCCATTCAGCTCGAATTTATATGAAGTCTGCTCGGGTCGGGTGACACTCAGGTGATCGACTTTCCACTTCGCATGGCCATGCACCTGCAATTAAATACACATAAGTCGATGTGAAGAGACGACGCGTTCATTTGGAACTCATGTGAGAAACTAATTATGGGTCCGAAATAACAGCAGAAAGTGGGAAAACGAGTCTGTCAAGGAATACACAGCCCTCTCACGTATTAGCGCTGGTAGTATCACGTGTGTTCGGTTTGTAGTGTATATGCTACATATTTCTGATATATACTGAGAGAGGAACTAGAAAAGATACCCTTCTGAGTCGAAACAAGCGGAGGTATTCGTCGGGAATCGCGCATTGGTGGTGAAGGAAGCAAGAAAATTCGCCGACTTTGCGAAATAAGGCTCCTCAAATGCAGTAAAAATACAGATTGGACGAGATTGCCATGACGGAAATAACATGGAAGGGATGTTCGGACGAGATTTCAGTTGTTGCAACTGCGCAAAGAGCTGACTACATCAAACCAAGAAGGTTCGGTATTGCGTTTACTGTCGCCATGGGTCATGACAAGTTGTTTGAACTTCCTGCATGGGTTCCTTCTTGAATGGTATAGCCTCTACAATGCCTATGAAACTCGTCCGCGCATACATACGGGACAATCTTTGGGCTATCTAGGCCATTTCTCGACCTGACAGCGCCACATATGGAGTACGAGGGACCATAAATTTACCCCAGCGGGTTATCTCACAGGCCACTCTCATCGTGAACATTGTGCGTTTAACTTTTATAGTAAAGAGTTCGACGCTATTATAGGGAGAGCTGAAGTGACTCCCCCTCACTAGAAACAATCATTTGAGTCTTTTGTACAGAAATAAGTAAAACTAACCTTATGATAAAGATGATAGTGCGTGATGTGCCCAGCTGTAGTGTTTGGCTTATTCCAAAAGACTGAAATCGATGGCGAACCAACTACTGGGCTGACTTGTATATTGGCCGGGGCACCAGAGGGAACTGTATTGAGACTTCTTATCATATTATAACATACAACTGACAGAACAACCAGTGAATTGCAAGTGATGGGCTTTGGAGGAAAAATTTTGATACCGCTCTCATCAGTGAAGAAGACATGTCGGGCTGGTGGTGACCTTCCGAACCCATTGTCAGCTTCCATGGACAGAGCATAAGAGGAACGAGCATGAAGACGGCAGACAGTGTACGGACTGCTCTTGTTTGCGGGGAAGCTGAAAGTGCACGTGCATCAAAAGTAGAAGACTGGTCTCAATTCAGGTAACCAAATACAAGTAGGTGGGCTATTCGGGGTACGTAATTGACCTTGATTCGAAGTTATGGTGCTTCTACACCGGCGGAGAATGGGCGATTGAGGGGTCGAAATCCCCTTCAAAATAATGCTATGACTTGGTTCTCCTGGTCTCTGAGTCTGCTACATCCACAGCCAAAACTGAGTGGACTCATCTACTTTGTATGACATTCCTAGGGTAATGTGGTAAAAATTGCAGCTATTTTCATCAAGGACATTACAAATTTAAAGACGACTCTATAGTCATCACTTTTCAAAAAACGCCCAGTCTCAAGTCCCACTAGTCTAGAAAGACCTTTTTAATGTTGTGATACTGAATTGAGGTTTACTCATCCAATCACCAGAACCTATAGAGCTCACACAAGAAGTTGGTTATCGCTGAGACTCGATAAGAGACTATGCTCCGAGCAGTCTAGGGAATGCTACCGCTTTCGTGGCATCAATGAGCTAGAGAAAAAGTAGTCGCTGTCTCATTAAAGCTTCCTCAGTGCATTGACGGCCGGTTTCCTCATCGACTGTGGTATTTAAATCATAGAAAGAGGAGCCTTACAGTAAGGAGAAAGCTACCAGCTAATGCTTTGTCATTTCTAGTCTCATATCCCAAATGTTCAGTGAGTTCATGATATGATCCGGTGAGGAAGGACTTGTGCTTCGCCGTCGTAAGTGTAATATTGTAGTGCAAAGGTTCCCTACTTGCAGGAAATTGCTCAGCCACTCATGAGCGCTTCGATATCGACTTCTCCACCGATCAATTTATAGTAGTAAATAGCCTATGCTTCCTTTGACAATAGGCCATAGCCTCATTTATGGTTGCATATCGTGGAAAAAATTTTGGCTCTAGTTTGTAGACGACTAATTTGCTATTTCACTCGGTCAAGGACTGTTCTCATCGAGTATGAATGTTCACGACAAATTGGTTTATAGTAGAGCCATCAAAAACACGATAGATTGGAAAATTTCGAAAAATGAAAAAGGAAAGCGCATTGGATGTCAGTTCAGAGCCATGGGCGTAAAAGAGTCACTACTAGAAAGAGATCCCCGTCCTTTAGATGTAGATATTTTGAGAAAAGCAGAAGATCGACTTGAAGAGAAAGTAGAAGATAGATTTGAAGTTCGGTTTTTTGCAAAGCCTATTACCTCAAGGGAATGCTGCTGGAATTTTTTACTTTTTTGTAAAACATTTATTATTTTTGAAAATATTGATGTCAAAAGCTGTGTCGAAGATAGATTGTCTTCGATACAGAATGCTGTCCCCAATCGAGCATGTTTTGGCTGAACATCTGTATTGTTGAACTAAACATTCAAAGAGGCGAATTTGCTCATCATCTCCGACATTAAATTGCCTCAAGTCCCTCAGAGATACCCACTTACTTTGACTTTGAGTTTTTGGAAACTCACACTTGCGACATGCTAATATGTAGGAGTCTAGCTTTTCGATACCCTTCCAAACGACCCAGGCCCATCCCTCCGGGGCCGCTTAACTGACACCAAATTCGTCTGAGGGGATAAAAGCACGGAAGTGTACATCGGCTGAAGGTAGTCTACATAATTCACTGTACGGGCTACACGCATTCAAAACGCCACTACGATTCTAAATGGACAGCAGGGAGCATACTAAAAGTGGGATGGCAATCGCCGAAGAGCTTATCCTCTATCATTTAACTGGTGTATTACTATCCAAAACAATGTGGCTTTCCCAAGACACTTTATGCCAACTTCCCACATCCCGAAAATAAAGCAAAAAAATGTTTATTTCACATGCCAGTCTACCCTTGGGGAAGGAACGTGCAGTGGCAGCAGAGCTCTTTTTACCGATTTTACAAGGAAGAGTTTTCAAAATGGTTTTATTAGCTGTTACAATTTTTGAATAGATAACCGATAACTAAACAAATATGCAATGTTTTTGATGAACCTACAATTCTCTTCTCGGTTCGCTGTCATCGAGGCGTTGGAAAAGAAGATGGTAGCCGACAAGCTCTCCATGCATGTCACTTGGTGGCTCCACGGCAATAGAAACGCAGCCCATCGTGGTGTTACGAATCGCGAGTACCAATGGTGGAGAATTCGGGGCTAGAATCAGACTATCTCATCACAGAGGAAGGAACGAACAAAAACGTTTTCTGCATTTTGTACCCTCTTGCTTTCAACAATATCCGAAACCGTGAACCTCAAGCCTACCTCAATACGACAGAACCTCCCTTCCTGTAGTGTACCACTGAGTTCCTAGCTCTCATTTTTACCAGTAATCACGTGACCAATCCCTCAGTACAAGGGAAGATTGGAATAATTAAGTGAAGTTCATAATCAAGAGCGTACCTTCCCCAAGTGTTCGAAAACGTGTTTCGGGTCCGAATGGACTATGTCCAGCAGCATTTTCGGCCCTTACTGCGAATGCGTAGAGGGTGTTAGGTGAGAGGTTGTCAACAATAACGGTGGTGGCATTCGATGGAGCCGGAATCACGAACCGAGAGTCGTCATCAACTGTTCTAAATATATAAAACCTGAACTGGTTGACAAGGAAACATTCCTGTGGGCGAAAAATCTCCTCACCGAACTACAACTGAGAACCGGAGTATGGGTCGGTGAGCTTTGGCGGTGTTGTGGTTCCACACCAACGTCACAGAACGGTTCGAGAACGCCTTCACGTCGGGGCTAGAAGGAGCCAATGGTCGAACTGAAAAATTTTTGAAGTCAAACTCATATCCTATTCTGAAAGTTAATCATATTGAATATGACTCATAGAGCTCAGATTCGAAAAGTGAAGGGCAATTGCTCAAGTCAAATATGCATTTAAAGCGGTGGCCTACTCTGAGAGAGTGCTCATGTGATTTTAAAACGATTTATCCTTGAAAAGAGAACGATTTTATTCATTTCTCCACTGCAATTTGGACCCCCCCCCCCCCC